AAGTGATTCTAATATTGTTAGTAGTTGATTACAAATGATGTCCTTGCTCGGGAGATGGCCTTGGCTCAATATAGCAAATATCCATCATATAGAGTACATTACATAGAAGGAATTGGAAGAATTCAGTGATATGAGAGTTATCTCAAAAGAACATTACCATGTTTTTTTTTATTGGTAGGACCGAAGTTAGTCGAAGGAGGTCAAAGGTGTAATAACCCGTTTTCGATTTTGGTAATTTTTTTTTGGAAACATTATAACTTCAAATCTCAAATCGTCTTCGTCATAGTATTTTGATTGTAGTATTTTACTTACATGATTTTTTTTGTAATTTTTGGACACATGTGAAAATCCTTAAGAAATTGATACATATCGGTATAAGTGGGGCTTTGAGGATCGTCAGATGTCTAATTTGAAAACCGATTTCACTAATATTTTTTAAATATCATGTTTTATTTTATGGATTTTTTTTTTTGTAATTTTTAAAGTCCTAAAATTATTTATTCAAATTTTATACTAAAACAATTGATTAAATTAATTATATTAATATTTAATCTTAAATATCTAAATCCATTATTAGAATCCATTAAATCCATTCGTTGCTTTCAAGCCATCGGTTAAAAGAGAAAAAAAAAATGAGAGAATGTGAGAGAAAGAAAAGAGAGAGAAAGAAGAAGATAAGATTTGGAGGCCGCGGTACGATTTCTGTCCATCGGGCCAGTTTGGAGATTTACACTCCTCGCTTTAAGGAATTCATACCCTATTTCTGATTTTAAAGATTTTGTGTTTTTGATATTTTTCTAATCAAATTTATATTTTCATTACCAAAAAAGATGAATAACTTTGTATTGGCAAAACTTTCACAGCGTACCTTTTTACATGTTATGGAGACCTAGTGATAGAGGTTGAAGGGGCTGTAGTCAGCGGGCAACGGGGGTCATAGGGACCGTAGTCGGTAGGCAACGGTGGTGATAGGGATTGTAGTTAGCAGGTGGTGGAGGTTGGAGGGAACATAGTAGGCGGACGGCGGTGGTTAGTGGGAATGTAGTGACTAGGAGCGACGATGATCAAAGCTGGGGCTGTAGTCGGTAGGCGATGGTGGTTGGAGGGGTCATAATAGGCAGGTGAATGAGGTCGGAGAGAGGAGAGACTATAATCAACTGGCAATAGAGGTTAGGGGGACCGTTATAGGTAGCGAGTGATAGATGTTAAAGGGATCATAGTCGATGTACGACATAGGTCGGAGGAACTGTAGTCATCATGTGACAGAGGTCGAAATGATCGTATTCGGTGAGAGACGATGGTCGGAGGGACAATACTTGGTGGGCAACATAAGTCATATGAAGGCCCGACGATGACTGTTGGATGGAGATCTGATGAAGATGGTCGGGTAGAGGTCCAACATCAGTGGCTTGGAAGCAAGGGCTTGCCAACATTTGTGTTTGGGTGGAGCTCCGGGATGTTTCAAGCCTTAAAGCTCTTTTGAGTCTCTAGCCACTGGTCTAAACCTCCAAAAGTCTAAACCCCTTTCCTCATGCGGTAAAAGGAGATCTATTTATAGATTTTAAAAGTGACATGCTTTATGAATATGAGAATGACCCGTATTAATTGATCCCCTCGGTCATGGAGCATTCTAGGGGTGTCAAATTAGGTCAACGGGTTGGGTTCAAATCTAACCAAAATTAACCCGAGTAAAAATGGTTAAACCTTACCCGATCTGATTTTATAAACGAGTCGGATTTTCAACCCGGACTCAACCCTCATGGGTCACATTTTGTAGACCTGTCAATTTCGGGTTACGGGTCGGGTTCGGGTCAACCCGAAATTGACCCAGTATTATTCGGGTTCGGGTCGACCCGACCCGTTTTTTCAAACGGGTCGATTTTCTGGACCCGAACCTCGGGTTCGGGTCAACCCAAACCCAAAAATTCCGGGTCGGGTTCGGGTCGGGTTTTCGGGTCGGGTCAAATATTGACAGGTCTAACATTTTGACCCAACCTAACCCGCAAACCCAGGGTTTGCCCGTGCATACTGGGATTTCTAAGGCCTGGCGAAGATAATGCGGACTCAGACTGCCAGCAGCTAATGCCTGGCATATGAGAAATGGAGAAAGGCTTGTAAGTGGTGCTGTCAGGCCGCCTGTCGGTGCAAAGTTCGGAAGTATTTAAGCATATATGTGCTACGTTGTGCGAGCGGACTCGGTAGGGCATAAGCTCGACGGCTTATGACTACTGACTAATTAACAGCTGGATGATGGCCGACAACAGACTCGTGAGTGTGTTGTGCTGGCAGAAGCGATGTGGCGATGCCACCGTGCCTAAACCTAACCTGCATTCTGCAGGAGGATGCGGATGCTCTAGGCTTTTATGTATTTAGGCTCTCGACGCAAGTAGCTGGCCGACGGACAGGTTTCGTAAATGGGTCAACCTGGTTGATTTCAAATTTTCAGGTCAACCATACCCGACCCGGTTTTGTAAACGGGTCAAAAAATGAAACCCGAACCTGACCCGTCTGGCAAACAGGTTGATCCAAACTTGGAATTTTTTGAGTCTGGTCAAATATTAACACCCCTAGAGCATTCATTCAATATTTAAGTGCCTCAATGGTGTCAAAAATAAGTGATCTTGGGCTCATTGGATTTATCTTGTTGAACTGCTTGATTCAAACTATAAGCGGACCATATTTGGATATCATTTATACATACAATGAAAGCCTTGGAGCATCCAAATATGCTTTAAGTTCTTAATTTGAGCTCATTTGGATTAGACCAATTTTAGTGTTTTTGGGTTTATCTCATTGATACATCCAGTTTGAGTATAAACTTGCTAAAATTAGAGATTGGATGACCCCTGATACATCGTCAAAAATTTATCTTGATCGGGCACGAATCTCGAGGCAAAATCAAGTTGGAATCTTCCAAAATTAAAATTGGGAGCATCTTAACTCTGATTTCAGCAAACTTATAGTTGAACTGAACGTCTCAGAAATACGAACCCAACAACACCAAATTCGATTCAATCCGAGCCCAAATGAGTCCAAATCAAAGACCTGAAGCACATTAGAAAGGTTTAAACCATGATTTGGATTACTAAACGGTTTCCAAACATGACATAATTATAGTCAAATCGAGCGGCTCGACAGACAAATCCAACAAGCCCAAGATCACAGAATTTTGACATCATCAAAGCCTTCAAATAGCCAGCAAATGATCCATGATCAAAGGATTCTATATCAATCGTCCATCCAAACCACTCCAACTTGCCCATGATCCTCCACTATTTAAGGGCCATGTCACTCTCAAAAATCTATAAATAAAGCCCCTCTCCAAGAGGAGAGGGACCCCTAAGCCTAAGGAATCAAGAGAGAGATCGAAGATCGCTCTTGCCTCCTTGCCTCCTCGACCATCGTCGGAGTTCTGCCGAACCACCACTGGAGTTCTGCCGAACCACCGCCGCAGTTTTGTCAAGCCACTGTTGGACCACTGCCGGATTTCTGTCGAACCACCGTCTGACCACCATCTGACGCCCTGTGCTCCGCTGGACCACCACCTGACTCCTTGTGCTCCGTCATACCACCACCTGACGCCTTGTGCTTCGTCAGACCACCACCAGACGCCTTGTGCTCAGCCATACCACCACCTGACGCTTGAAGCTCTGCCAGACGACCACCCGAGGCCTGGAGTTCTGCCATACCACCATCTAATGCCCGGAGTTCTGCCAGATGACCACAAAAGGCCCGGAGTTCTGCCAGAACACCAACTGAAGACCGAAGTTTTGCCGGACCATCACCTGACACCCGGATTTCTATCGTACAGTTGATACTTGTAATATGATCGTCCTTGGAGGCGAGTCAGCCCATTGTAACCAATTTAAGTTCTAGTGGAATCATTTTCAACTGAGCCAGGCCCCGTAGTTTTTTTTCCCTTTTTCCAGAACTTTCCATATAAAAAATCTTGTGTTCTCTATGTGTGAGCTGGATATTCGTGCAACGTTAAGACGTAGTATTCTAACTCTATTGCCGTGTATATTCTAACCCGCAACAACTCCAATTTAATTTTGAAAGTTTCCTATTCATATATGCATCAAGATAGTTGCCTAATCAAGGCGATTTTGGTGGCATGCATATGAGAAATGATCATTTATGTAATTCAATTTAAATATTCCTCTTGAATAGGAGACTTAATTTATTTCGGAGCACTAACCCACCAACTTAAGTCTTTTTTTTAATAGTTTTTTATTGTTTTAAAGGTAAGAAAAAAATTAGTAAAAGGATAATATGTAATTGAAAGAAAGGTCTTTCAAGCATTTTTCTTTAAATTTTTTTTTTTTTTAATTTGTGACTGAGAAAGAAGCTTTATAAAACAAAAACATTAAACTTTTTTAGGAGAACCTTAAATTATTTAATTTATTTTACTGTAAATGAGTGATACATAAATTTAATTTGTGAAATTACAAATTATATTGATCTTAAAATAAATTTACTAACATTAAATTTATGTCCTAGTTTTTTTTTTATTATTATTATTAACCTGAAGTTCTTGTATTTAGCTGTGAAAATTTTCTCTCTATGAAAAAAAATGACATATAGTTCTAACAAATAATGAAACTTCAGCTTTTTCAAACCTACTGAAAGATATTCGCAAATGTTACCAAATTTGTAGGGCCATTTATAAATACAGATGAAAACTCATACTAACCATTGCATCACTCCCCGCACGAATGATGATGCATCACTCCCCGCACGAATCATGATGCAACAAGTAACTGCATGCATGTCCCACACCTTGGCATGCATCCACCAAGCTTCAAAACTGGTTTCAAAAACACAGAAGTATCCAACGACAGTTCCTTGTTACCAACCAAAAGCATGAAATCACCATCATCTAATGTGAACACGCTCATCTCTCTGTTAATCTCCCTCGCTCGATCGCTCGATCTCTCTATTTCAAATAAACAGTAATTTCTCTATTCTTTTTCTCTCTCTCTCATCTTATAAATGCACTGTCTTGTTTTTTTCCCTATGCAACTACATTCAATATGAGAGAGAGAGCGAGAGGCCATGCATTCACTTCATCCGAGCAAGCTGACTTTATAGGGAGACCTAAGAGTAAATGATCCTTGCTGTCTTCTTCTGACTTTTCCATCTCTCACTGTTTTCTCAGCTCTACTCTCCCATGGCTATCCTTCTTTAAGGTCAGCGTAGGCTAACGAGAGACCCTTTCCCAAGGGTCACTTGTGTATTTATAACACAGGAAACAACCCCTTTTATTAAGGCCTTTTGTCTCTGCTCAACAAAGAAGAAAGAAGAGATACAAACAAGGAAAAGAGAAATCTTTCTTGATCTATATCTACATATTATTTCTCCTCCGTTTAATCAGCGCAAATAGAGGAAAAAAGGTGCTATGGGAAGGCCTCCTTGTTGCGAAAAGGAAGGGGTTAAGAAAGGTCCATGGACACCTGAAGAAGATATCATCCTTGTCTCTTACATACAAGAGCATGGCCCTGGAAATTGGAGGGCTGTTCCTACAAATACTGGTAAGTACTTAGCTAGAGCTTTTTTCTTCTTTTCAAATTTCACTTAATTTCTTCAATTAGATCTCACAGTTCAGTTTGGGTTTCTGAAACTGTAAGTACAGGACAAGATCTGACTACAGGTATTTTTGAGTTCTATATTCATTTAGATCTCACAATTGAATAGGTCGCCTGCATGTGTCGATATCATATGTTTTCTGTTTATGGTTTCTTTTTGTATAATTTTGCTGAAATTTATACTCGTATATGAAAATATATCTTATTTCAGCCATGTTTTTTCAAGTAAATGAAAATTTTTTTTTTGCAAATCAAATCTTTATGTTGTGTATGAAGTTATCAACCTACAGTAAATTTGGGCTGCAGGTTTGATGAGATGCAGCAAGAGCTGCAGGCTGAGATGGACCAACTATCTCAGGCCAGGAATCAAGCGTGGTAACTTCACAGATCAGGAGGAGAAGCTCATAATTCATCTTCAAGCACTCCTTGGAAACAGGTAATTATTAATTAAAACTTTTTTCTATCACTAATCATGTACTTTTATTAATTAATTAGCCGATATATCTTTTGCTTGATTTACTCAAGCTTTCAGTTAAACACCAAAATTCTCTTATTATATATCGATGTCTGCTAAATAGTATTAAAAGCCTTAATTATTGCAATATTCTTTTGAACAACATATATTAATTTTTTAGTAAAGGAGCACTGTCTTAAACGGATTATATTAACAGATGATTATTATTTAAATTGCACTTAAAACGTACACTAATTATAAATATTTAATAAATTCCAACATTCACGTGGTTTTAATCATCTTTATTTTTTTAATAAACTTTTTTTAACCTAATCTTATTTATACATAACCTTATCTCTCTGCTGTGTCATTAAAAAAATAAAAAAAGAAAATAGTTATGCCGAAGCAGCTTGCAATTTAATATAATATATAAATAATTATTTGAATGTTACTCTTATCTAATAATAGGAATGATTTAAATAATGTGACATTAATATAGTTGTCCAGAAAACTTGGCATTGAAAACAGTAATTATCACCAAAAGAAGCCGCCATTAATCCTTATAAATGAGTCAAATTTATTGCTGTGCACTTAATATTATCGAAAATACACTGTAAATTACTGCAAATTACTTCTGAATATTATGAGACTGAAAATTTCTTTTTATTTTATGATTGTTGAAATTTACATAGATGGGCAGCCATAGCCTCTTACCTTCCAGAGAGAACAGATAATGATATCAAGAACTATTGGAACACTCATCTAAAGAAAAAGCTGAAGAAGCTTCAGTACTCCGGCGAGGATGGAGGTCGAACAATCAACCAGATCTCGAACAACCATCATCAATCCGTCTCCAAAGGGCAATGGGAAAGGAGGCTTCAAACGGACATCCACATGGCGAAACAAGCTCTCTCCGAGGCCTTATCCCTCGACACAATGAATCTCGAATCGCCATCACCGCCGACGTTCGTCGGTCCGACCAACACCTGCACCTATGCTTCGAGCACCGAGAACATCTCTAGGTTACTTGAGAATTGGATGAAGAGCACCCCGAAATCAAGAAGTAGGGCTAGCTTGGGTTCGATGAGCAATGTGTGCTCCGAGACGACTACCATGGAGTCGACAACACCGGCGCCAATGGGGAAAGTAATGATGGGATCAAATCATGAATTAGGTTTTCGATCGGTGAAGATTGAGTCGTTGGGGAGATCAGTGTTGCAGGAGGAGAGCAAAGAGAGCTCGGCCGTTGCACCGCCGCTCTCTTTCATCGAGAACTGGCTTTTCGACGATTTAAGCGTCGGGAATGGAGGCGATGATCATCAGGATTTAGTGGATTTGCCGCTAAGTGACGCTTCTGAGTTGTTCCAGGATTGATCATCATAGATAAGAAGATCGAAGGAGTACGTACTTGCAGCAGGATTAAACCCGCTTCCATCCGCTTTTCCTTAAGTGATTAATTAAGGCGTCATGATACAATAATGGAGCGGATGGCCGCAAGTTTAATCTAGCTATATGAAGAAGATCTGAGAAGCATTATCCCTTAGATTTTTCTTCCTTAGCTCATAGAGTTCAGATGAAAATGAGAAGAAAAATATTAATTTATCGTTAGAAGAGCAAAGAGGATCGAAGGAATGAGACTCTTTGTTCCCTAGCTACTACTTCTGCAAATTAATTAGTATGCAATGATCGATGAGGCTTAGCTCGTGATTATTAATTAATTGTACTTAATTAGTTTATCTTCTTCATCTTTTAATTCCTAATTATCAATGCTACCAAAACTGTAAATTACAAATTAGATCGCTTAATTACTATCATGCAGGAATCGAAGAGATTTGTATTTCATCAATGTAATTCAGTCTCGTCTCTTGTGAACACAAAGCCTCTTAATTTACATGTTCTTATTTACTTGAATTACATATATGCTTTTCTTGTCTGTATTTGATATTTCAGTTTTGGAATTCGAGCTGACAAAGACAGCGACGCAAAGGTTAGAAAAACATGGAATGCATGGATTAGGATTTTTTATCTTAGGCCTCGTTTTGGACTATTTTTTTGCTGCTTCTTAAAGTAGTTTTTCAGTACAAAATATTTAATTTTTATACTAAAAAATTATTTTAAGAAGTAGTAAAAATATCATTTCAAATCAAACCTTAATTTGCATGAAAGAAATACAATTCAAACACATAAGATATTTTGTTTTTATATGCAATACTGAGTCATACATATGGTTCACATGGTGAGTGTGAATAAGTCATATATAGACAAGTCTTAATTAATTATTAATTTAGTGATTACTTATGGGATCTTATCTATGTAATTGTGGGACCCATTTATGACTTTTATTTTTTTTTTAATATTGATTTTATTATGAGAAGACTTGTATATTTTTGATATATTTAGATAATGAATGGTTGAATTATTGACACTTGCATGTGTGGGTCTAAAAGATAAATCAAATCATTAATAGTTCGTGTTAATATAACTATATTAACTATCTTAATTAGGATGATCAAGAATTTAAGTGCTAATTTTATTAATATATAAAGATGTGTGCTAAATTATTTAATTATTTTTTGTCTAAATTATTTTAATGATATAAGAAAGAAATGCTCCATTCATATATAACAGGAGTCAATTAAGCATAGTTTATTGACATACATAGGGCTGATTTAATATAAAATGCATGCAAAAACTAATATTAAATTTAACTCAAATCACTCGTGTTAAGACTTTTTTTTTCTTTCTGATTATCGAGATTATTAAATGAAGAAAAGAATTGCTAAATGATTAAAAATAAAAGGAATTCAAAATAATAAGGAAATTGTGAATAATTCAAAGATTAATTCTCATACATGCACAATCATGCATATTTTACTGAATTGCTCATATTATAATTATAGAAGACAATGCCATTGATACAAGTAAAGAAACCTTCAATGAAGAATTAGACTTCTTCCATAAGAAATAATCTCTACAAATCTTTAATTGATAGAGATTTTTTAAATTGGAATATAAAAAATATAACTTTTTTTTTTGAACAAAAATTTCATTAATAATTGAAAGGGTTACATCAGATGTGAGCAAAAACAACAAGTAACAGGAAAAAGGACTAACCAAAAAACCCCACAAACGAGATAAAGGCAAACCAAAAAGAGGGCTCATTAGAACACCGAGACTACCAGCACCTCGAGATCCCTCAAGGACCATCCAGAAGGGGTACCAACGGTTGCCACAGGAGAGTCGACGATGGTGCGAGCCCCAGCACATCATAGCCTAGTAATTAATCATCCAAACGAAAAACCAACAGATGAAGACACCAGCAGCAAGCAAAAATTAAACAGAATATCTTCTTCTACCACCTCGCTTCCATAATTTCCCACGCAAGCTGGCCCTAAGAGTCCTATCATGAACCATTTTAAAATCAAAATCAGGATCTGAAAGGGAATCAGAATCAACCACAGACAAATTGATCAACCAATCACCATGTGACCTAACATCCCTTCCAGAATTTGATCACACTACAATAGTGGCTGTCGAAAGGTTAACAGGTACATTAATAAAATTACCTAGCACTTGGCCCCCCACTGAAGAGTGCACCTTTCTACTCTCAGAATCCTCCACATTGCCCAGCACAGCCGAATCACCAGGTAGCCCATCATCAACAACATTAGGATTAGAAACCAATTTCTCACAAACAACCGGCACCAGATTAGTTTTCGGACTAACAATCTTCTCAGCCAACTGCCCAGAATCGACAGACGAAGGAAAGAAGGGAATAGCATTAGGAGAAAGCAAATTCTCAGCCACAACCATAAAACCATCATCAATTAAAACATTGCCATCCTGAACGATTTCCAAAGTCATATCAACAGGGGGATTAGAGACCATCTCTCCACACGGAGCAGCTACATCATTGTTCAACCCAAACACATTCGGCACAGTCACAGCATTATTGTCCAGCACATCATCCACAGCAGCAGACACAATCGGCACAGGCACCCCGCCAAGATCAATCACAGGTTTAGAAGTATTAAGAGTGGGATGTAAGATAGTGCAAGACCCCTTAGAATGGCCTAGTGAGTTACAATGAACACAAAACTTAGGAATATCATCAAAAATAACAGACTGCACATACCCCGACTCCACAGAGCCAACCCAAACCTTATCAGGGTGATTCAAGGTAACATCCATCTCAACTAGAATGCGGGCTATAGAAGGTCGCGAACCAGAAGCCATCACCAAATCAGATTTTAGAGGTTTACCGAAAATGGATCCTAAACCAAAAAGAATTCTAGGAGAAAATAAATGAGGTATTTAAAAATTTTACCCTCTTTTAAAATTTAAAACCAAGAATTTAAATTTAGTGAATTTTATAGAAAAAGTTTTTCAAACACAATTTTAAAACAGTAAAATAGAAAAATAAAAAGTAATGGAAAAATAAAAGACACGAGATTTATAGTGATTCGGTCAAACACGACCTACATCCACTCCCCGAAGGCACCCTCCGAGTATTGCACTAATACCACTATTGACTCTCCTTTTGCACTCGTACAAGAAGGCGGAGAAGCCTTTACAAAACCCTCTTCCACCACTACCCGGTGCGGCAGAGAACCGTCATCTTTTTACACTTTTCCTAGTATTGGCAGAGAACCGTCCATCCTTTCACACTCTCCGGTGTGGGCAGAGAACCCTTCGTCCTTTCACACTCTCCCAGTGTGGGCAGAGAACCCCTTCGGCTGTTCACACTCTTCTAGTGTGGGCAGAGAACCCTTCATCCTTTCACACTCTCCTAGTGTGGACAGAGAACCCTTCGGGTGTTCACACTCACCTAGTGTGGGCAGAGAACCCTTCGATCGGCTGTTCACACTATCCAAGTGTCGGTAGAGAACCGAATCTTCTTGACAGATCTTCTTCACAAGAAATCTAGAATGAAGAGAGAAAAGCATGAATTAAACATAAATCAAAAGTAAAGATTCTTACCTTTGAAGACCAAGTGAAGCCTTCACGCTCCAGTATGAAGAATCCTCTTTCAAACACTCTCTCACACTCTCTTCTTGACTCTTCTTTCAATAGGCACGAAGATTAGTAGGAAAAAAAGATTAAGTGGCAGTCTAAATTGGACTATTTATATGAAAGACAAGAAAAACCATCCAAAAACTGTAATTAACTATTCAAGTCAACACGCAGTTGATCATCCCGTACGATCGTGGACCTTCCTGGATGATTTTACTTAAATGTGTAGAAACGAACCAAATGTATATTGGTATGAACTGAAATCGTACCCGAGCATCGTCCCGTACGAACTAGGTTCGTCCGGTATGAACAGTTATACCATAAGTCGGTTCCCAGAAACTGTAGGAAGTCGCCAAAATTTAAAGAGTCGATTCACTTTGTCCCGGGACGAATATGAGTTCGTCCGGACAAAATTTTTACAGAGAACAATTCGTCCTGGGACGAATTTACGTTCGTCTGGACAAAAATTTTCCAGAGAGCATTTCGTCCTGGCATGAATGTGAATTTCATCTGAACAAAAATTTTCCAGATGACATTTCATCCTGGGACGAATTTGAGTTCATTTGGACGAATATTTTCTAGAGAGCATTTCGGCCTGGCACGAATATGAATTTCGTCTGAACGAAAATTTTTCAGAGAACATTTCGTCCTAGGATGATTAAACATTCGTCCTGGACGATCAGGGCTTAGAAAAAATTTTTTTCCACTCCTGTTCGTTCCATTGCTCTTTAAAGGAGATAACTGACTTGATCGTCCCGTACGATCAGTATAAATTGTTAAATATCTCCTTAAGTGTGTGTGTGTGTTTATTCACTCAATTACAATCACTCTCTCTTAAACTTAATTCAAAGAAAAATACAAGCTTCAATTCACAAAATCTCTCATGCTAAATTTGATTTGAAGTCTTCGTAGTCTGGAGTTTGATTTTCCTGAAATGTTAGTTCACACAAGAGCAAAAATAAATCTTCTAAAAAGTTTTAGGAGATATCAATATATAAAATAATAATATTTTGAATCATCAAAATTATACAAGTTGCAAGAATATAAAACATGCAAATAACAACTCGTTTAAAACAGCCGACCACCTCTAGAGTTCTTCCTCACCACTAACGAACTTTCGCTAGTCCGCCGATCGACTACCGTCGAAGTTCTTCCCAACCACTGACAGACATTCGCCAGTCCGTCGACAAACATCGATCTTATGCCGATTCGTCGACTACCTCTAGAGTTCTTTCCGACCACCGTCGGACTTTCGCCATTTTGTCGACCACTGTCAGAGTTCTTCTAGACTACCGATGGACTTCTGCCTGTCCGCTAACCTCTGTCAAAGATCTTCCCGAATAACATCGGACTTTTGCCAGTCTGTTGACCACCGTTAGAGTTCTTCTTGACCATCGATGAACCTTCACCTGTCTGTTAACTACAATCTTTCAGACCTCCACTATAAAAAATTCATCAATTATTGGTAGTTAGGATAGGCGGTTCTTAAACCGTTGGTAATAACGGCAGCTTAGCCGGTGGTTTGACAGCCGGTGTTTACCGTCGGTCATTTAAATGAAAGCCGCCAGAAATAGCGGCAGTCCAACAACCACAGGTTAACCTGTTGGTAATAATTCTTACCGACGCTTTACCAGCGGCTGTAACTGCCGGTGTTAAGTAAATTATTTATGACGATCTGAACCACCGAATTAAAAACCGCCGGAACATGCCCTAGAATAAGTCATCCCGAGCCTTCCATTTCATTTGGTCGCCTGCTCCTCTCTCTCCTGCGCGATACTCGCCCCCGTCTCCTCTGCCCTCTCGCAATCGAGATGCTACCTCCGGCTGCCGACAAGGTCCCTTCGGCCGAAGATCTCATCCCGCTCCCAGCTTGTGTGTGAAACCGGCCTCCGAGTGTCGTA